AAGGATCCTTCAGAAATCACTCTTTCATTCATTTTTTAACCACCATCCACACTGAATAATGAACAGCATTTTGCGCCACCTTCTGATACTTGTCCTTCAGTTTGTTGGCCTTGGACTGGAAGGGCTGCTTCTCCGAATCAGACAGATTATTCCACATCTCTCCCAGCCTCTTGGCTACATCTCCAATGCCCAGACTGGGGTGCTGAGCCTTGATGTTGGGCCTTTGTTCTGCACAGAACAGGAAAAATCCAGACCTGGGAATAAGAAAAGAGACAAACATTTAAGTAACTAAACTAGACAAGCCCATAGTCCATCCAGAATCAATAAAAGAAGCTCTAGCAATAAGCATTCTGAAAGGAAAGAGCACATACTGTGGCCGCCTTGGAGCATTGGGGTCCTTAATCTGCTTCCGACTTTTCTTTCCTGGATTGTAGCTCATCATTTCCTGGTCATAACGGACCTTGTCCTGTTTGGCCAGGTCTTCAAATTTAGTCTTCTCTTTTGGTGACATAGTCTGAAACAGATGACAGTTTCTTGAAGCCGCTACCTGTAGCCTTTATTCATTTTTATTTTTTTAAAGATATAGACATCTCCAGATAAGAATAACCTACTTACTTTCCATCTCTCAGAGCACTTCTTTGAAAATTCTGAAAAGTTAACCGTGACACCAGGGTTCTTCTTGTTGTGCTCTTCACGGCACGTCTTCACAAAATAGGCATAGGCGGACGACTTGCCCTTGGGTTTCCCTGGCTCACCCTTTGCCATTATTACAAGCCACTCAACTATCACACCACACCTAGAAATACACAGAATTGAATAAACTAAAACATAAATATATATTACGGAGACGACCCAAATGATTAGGTGCCACAGTTTCAATGTAAACAAACTGCATCTTTTCATACATAGCTCATTCCTAGAGACTCTCTTAATAGAGAGCCATAGTCCCACTCACTTTTCAGCAGCATTGGTTCCAGAAATAATTTTCATATTCGTTTTACTCGTAGGGATTTTCAAGGAATCTTTAAAGAGGTGTAAGTTGAAATTCAAACCAACAAACTACGAGGTGAATTATAACATTATTTGCTTTGATTTCATTTGAAAATCAGATAATTTTTAAAAAAGTTACAAGACTGTGTACTTAATTGCTAGATCACATTTATTGCAATAATAATTGCACTAAATGCAGTGGTTCATGGGAGTGGACAGGAGTTAGAGAGTTCTTTTGGTGCAAACGGTTTCAATTCTTTGATTAGTGTAATTTTTTACAGAATCATGGGTAACGTGGTATTCATTCATTTTTTTAAACTTAAAAAAAAAAAAAATGGAATTCATGCAGGCTGATGGCTTCAACAGAAGCATATACCATCGATTACGAACCTCGTAGCTCTTTAAAGTTGGTCTGTCTTTAAGGACTCAAGTTATTAAGGTAAAAAAATAGTTAATGGGATATTTACTTTGGGGACCCGTGTGTTTCAATTAGGGCGGTCAATTTTTTTTCCGAATATGCGTCGAATTAAAAAACAAACAGTCAAATGCAAAAACGTTGCATTCTAATTTTAGGTCTGCGTCAGCCGTCAGGCAGCCTTATCAGCGGCGCACGAGATTCGACGACGATGTAAGCGTCATTGAATTGTAATGTTTTTGTTAGCCTATCCAGTTAAACCCAATAGATGTGGCGCTGATACGTTGTTCATTCAATATATATCGGAAAACGAGATCATCAGTGTGGAGAATATGTTGATTACGTCAAAACTGAAACCAAGCCGTTCTAGAGGGACATCTATCAGCGTTGCACTCGCGTCTCACACAAGAGAGCGGCATGTTTAGAAAGCCATGTAAAATTAATATAAGTTCAACTTTTAAAAAACATGTCTCATGACTTTATGGCGGTTTTTCCCCGTCCCACTGCATCTCATGTTTTTAATTGAAGAAAGTAGCCTACTTTTGTGATTGGTTTTCCGTGCTTTGTATTAAACTATACATGCATGCATGGTGCTGTTTTTTCTTTTAATTGTTTAAGCAACTTTAATTATATATGGTTTAGAAACATTATGCACTTTTTTTCCAAAGATAGTCGTGTTATTTTATTACTCTTTGAAGAAACCTGCATAATTTTTTGCTCGATGCGCCCTCTTGTGGCCTCAGGAGAGAAGCCAAAAGCTTTTTTCCCTCCTAACTGAAATTATGCCTTTTAAATTCGATTAGATAATATTTAAGTGGAAAATTCGAATTTAGTTTGTCATTTTGACACCTTTAGTTTCAATATATAACGCATGTTCTGCACATCGTCGGAGGTGCCTGCAAACACTACTTATTATATTCCATGTTGTGAAGTGCAAACTGATGACAGAAACTAAACTTTACTTTAAAACGTAAATTAGTGATTATTTCCAAAATAAGATGTTATTTAACCGCGTGACTAGTTTAAAAAGGCCAGTAATGTGTGAAGAGAAGGACTGACTGGCCGCTTCTCTTCAATCAGACTGCAGTCATTAAAATGGCCTCTCTCAGCGTCCAGGAACAATGCCTTGCACATCGCCGTCTTCACAGCACACTTCGAGGACACGTCGACTTTTAAAAGCTGCTAGGTAAAGCCATTTTAAAAGTTGTTTATTAAATACAATGAGCTGCGAAGACAGCTTCTGCTAAGTTTGACCAGTTCCACACTTGACGCTAAAAACACTATCGTGTAGGTTTGCGACATGAATATTAATTACGCGCCGTGACGTTCGCCCCGCATAGCTAACTGATTGGTTGTAATGTAGACGTGTTCAGGTGGGCGTATTTAGTGAGCAGCGAATTAACGAATCATACTATGGAGAAGGCGTTCATTATGAATATTAAATTAAGTTACGCTGTAGGAATTTTACGCAGCGACGTCAACGAAATCATTAACATTCATGAGCCAAACCTTCCCCATAGTAGGATTAGCAAATTCGCGCCCAGCACAAACCCGTTTCTAACAAAGGCAGCCGCAAACCAGCCATGACTGGCACTCAACAGCTCAATGCTCTCCATAACCAGAAAACATACAACGAGCCAAAACTATTAACGTTACACAGTAAACTCAGCGACGACACACGGTGCACTCCACAACAGTTTTTCAGCCAATTTAGCACCCCCTGATTTTTGAGGCAGATTTTTTTTTTTTTTTTACATCGCCAGCCATTTTAAAAGCACGTTCGTCACTCAACTTCGGTTTAAGAGACAAAAAATGTAGCTTTTCTAGACTGTAAATGATAGCGAAATAGTTTAGAACCAACAGAATAAAAACCACCGTTAAACATTTCAACGTAAACGCGAGTTTTTAAAAGAAAAACACGGTTAGTTATATTTAAAATATGGCTTACGCACTAAAAAAGGCTTTAAATAACTAAAACAATATATTAAAGAGAATATTAAGCCCCGGTGAAAATTCTAAAATTGAGTCTTTTATAAATACCTTCTGCTAATGTTTGTCCCGTCGTCTGTTCTCCTCAATCACACACTAACGGCCTCCTCGAGTCGCGCTTCCTCTCTATAGAAGCCCACACAGCCTCGCGCTAGCTCACTACGAGACCTGCCTGATTGGTCAGTCCCGGCACGCATTTAAAACAGCCTCCGCAACTGTGGATTGGCTAAAAGATCATACATATTCATAACCTGCTTGCCGCCATTGGACAGAAGCATAAGCCACACCCATTATTCAAAAACAAGGCGGGAATTGCTGTCATAACAACAGAAGTTTCACGTGTGAGCGTGAAATACGGGCGGTACAGTGCACTATACAGAGGAACTGTATACTGTGCAATGTTTAGGGTGTGAGAATACTAGTAGAGGAGCAGAAAATATGAAAACGAGGATGGCCTACAAAAACAGAACGATGGTAATATAAAATATTGTGTTAAAAGGTTTGTCCACAAACAAGGACGTGTCAAGGACATACATGAATACGGTTTTTGTTTTCAATATTACACTTAGTAGAGTAACAAGATGTATTTGTTGGCTTAAATTGCATTTTCATGTACTCTGAACCCATGTTTTTTTATTATTATTATGAACAATATTGTCTAATTAACAGCAAATTTGCAGATTTATCATGGATTACCAAAAGCAGCAGAAATAACACCTAAGATTTTTTAAAATTCTTTATACAACAAAATGTAGTTTTAAACATATTAAGATACTCAATTATTACAAATATAAGCTTATAAGAAATTAGAAATTTATTATAAAATTACTATAACACACTTTAAAAAAAAACACATTCAGAAAATAACATACATACGCATTAGCCAACTTTTAGTAAACGGTCATAGTAATCTTGAAATGCATTTAAAATAATAATAAAAGAAGGTGGCGGTTTATGTACACAAATATGTCACTTACTACCTCAGAGCAAAGCTATGCACAAATTTTATATTATGCATGATTTTAAATGTTTCCTCATTTTGTTTCTCATAGTTGAGGTATACCTATGATGAAAATTACAGGCCTCTCTCATCTTTTTAAGTGGGAGAACTTGCACAATTGGTGGCTGACTAAATACTTTTTTTCCCCACTGTATATAAATATACATAAAATGGTGTTCAAAAGTCATGGACCACCAAACTGTGGATTTCATCCCAATAAAAATGGTAAAACATACAAGATTTTAGAATTTTTAGCACAGCTTGAATAAATAATATATAATATTAATTAAAAATAAATAAATAAACCTTCATATAAAAGTCAAATATTACCCTTTAGGGATTCCGGTTTATAGTAAATAAAACCACATAAACCATATAATGCATATTTTCTAAAATAAATGGTTAAAAAGATACATTTTACCATATATTAAATAAAATAAAATTGTAAGTAAATGCAGGCAATCCTAAGATTTTATATAATGCAACTTAAAATACAAATCAACTCAGAATCTTAATTGTTTTACACTGTTATCAGTGTAACTCCACAACACACATTTTTCCACCTACAACCACTGAAGCAAATGTGGAATAAGTAGCCATCAACTATCATCCTCTGCATCCCCTGCTCACCTGTGGCCTCATGCGAGGGTTCCAGCGCACATAATAACTGACCCAAAGCTCTAGGTGTCTCAAACTGGCTACTGGATATAAAACATGGTGCTCGTAGTTCACATACAGCGGGTTGGTAAACTCCTCAAGCTGGCTGTTCACATATGACCACAGAGATACGGTCTTGCTGTACACCTCCTGCAAAAAAAATCAGAACTGAATGACATTAGAGTGACTAAATCATGACAGAATGACAGTTGCATGCATCTGTTCTTGCCTTCGAGACCCGTTCTTGCTCGCTGTTGTAAAGAAACGTCCCAAACAGGCAGCTGTACAGGTGATCAAGCACCGTGATGAGAAACAGCTCATTGAATTCAAATGCAGAGGGAAACTATGAAGAGAGAAAAAAATTAAATAATAATATATTTGGTCATATAATAAACGTCACATCATCTCCACTGTTCCTCACCTGCCGGGCCATTTGCCAGACACAGTCGATGAACTGCACAAAGAGAGGGGAGCGCTCAGAGTTTGCATGATTCCCATCTCCATGTCCCACTCGCTGACAGACAGAAGGCCAGAGAAGGAAGCCGTAAGATGCTAGTAAACATTCAGTGCACAATGTTTTTCTCCATTCATATACACAGGATGTTACTGACCGAGGCAAAGCGGTGTCCGAAGCTCAGCCATTCCTTCTCCAGAAGCACCTGGAAGCCCCTGAGCGAGCGGTAGTGTGCGTCCAGCATGAGCATGGCCAGAGAGGTGAGCTGAGCCGTGCGGTCCCAGCCATCGCTGCAGTGCACCACCACTGACGTCTTTCCCGACTCGATTCGGTCTGCGATGCGCACCGCACCTGCTAGCAAGAGCTACAGAGAAAACAGATGGTCATTTTGGTGGGTGCTGTACCTTTAAGACATGCTTTTTATTATATTATTTTTATTTATATTATTCTACGTGTTTTAAATGATTAAGTCAATTAAATGATTACATTTTATTACATACAACTATTTTAAAAACCCGTTCATTTCTGCACTTTGTTAAATGTATAACATTAAATAATACAACTAATACATTCATCATTTTTAGAGCTTCAATTTAAAATTGCATTTCTGTATTATCTTTATTCAATTCAAATTTAGCTTAGCTGAGCAACCAAGTTCATTAGTTGCTACCAAATGTGAAGTATACAATGGCATTTAAATCCAACCCAGTGTAAGCTTTTTTTGACTGCACTGACAAACGTGTTCAAAAAACACTCACTCACTCACTCACTCACTCACTCACACACACTGCAACTTGAATCCAACCAATCCAACCGACCAATACTGTTTTAAATGCAAGCAAATTTAGTTTTATTTTACCAAATAAACTTTTTCTTTTTTCTTTCTTTGAATTTACATTTCTATTGAAAAACGGTCTAAAGATGTGATTTTTAAAACATCCTAAAAACCTCTTTTAACTTGTGCTTTGAGTTTTTAGAATGTCTTGTGTGCGAGACACGGCAAACGACACTAGACATGCAAAGGTCAAACCACATGTCCATCTAGCGCATGTTTACATAGAAAACAATGGAAAATTCTTCTTAACTGTTTTTCTTCTTATTTTCTAAACTAAGAAAAAAATGTACGAATAATTTGATAATAATAAAACAAGTATGTAGTACAGATATGCTATATACATAAATTATGCAAGGGAATGTGAACAGGATGTGAATATAACACTTTAGCAATGGATTTAAAGGAGACATATTATGCCCCCTTTTACAAGATGTAATATAAGTCTCTGGGGTCCCCAGAATGTGTCTGTGAATTTTCGGCTCAAAATACTCCACAGATCATTTATTATATCATTTTGAAAAAGCCTATTTTGAGTGGAAGCAGAAACACGCCGTTTTTCGGGCCTGTCTCTTTAAATGCAAATGAGCTGCTGCTCCCCGCCCCCTTTTCCAGAATAGAGCTGCAACATTACAGCTCGGACCTGCTAAAAACATCTGTTTTGGTTCTGATTATCATGTTTATCGTGCTGAAATCATATGAGTATAAACTTCAGATATACGGATTTCTGAGAGCACACATCCGAAGCACACGGACAGAAAGCGGCTGTCACAGCATGAGAGTACTAAACTAAGTTCTCATTCACACACAAGTTTACGTTAAAAACACACACTAGTTACAAAAAACTGTGGGTTATGTCTGTGAAGGTAAACAGCTGGGAAATAAATCGCACGTTTATTTTAGATCTGTGTTGCAGCAGCAATATACAGTAAATAAATCAATACATCCATTGCTCTGTTGTCTCCTCTGAGGCTGGGACTCTAAATAGTGTTCTGTGCTCGTCTGTGCAGCCAAAGACAGAACCGTTAGCATGTTTTGCTCAAACTTTCGCCATGGCATTAGAACTAGTACACTGTTGTCGCTTGCGAAAAAACACAATGACGGCGCCGTGGGTGTAAACTTACAGATTAAGGGGCGGTAATATTATAATGAGATCCCTTTGCCACGTCACTAAGGGAGCGAAATCAGACGCACTCGTTTTCTCAGAAAGTTACTGGGTTAATCTTTTTCACGTTTCCTTGGTTGGTAGATGCACCGGGGACCTCATTATAGCACTTAAAATCTGGAAAATTCAGATTTTCATGATATGTCACCTTTAAGTTAAAAACGACATAATATTAGATTTTTTTTTATTGCAAACATGCAGCTTTTCACTTCTCAAGACATTAATTGATGCACTGGAGTGGTGTGGATTATTGTAATGTTTTTATAAGCTGTTTGGGCTCTCATTCTGATGGCACCCATTCACTGCTGAGCAAGTGATGTAGTGCTAAATTACAAATCTGTTCAGGTCAAGACTTCTTACTCTTAAAATGTCTTATTTCTTAACTTCTTTCTATAAGAAGATTTTCCATTTGACAGTGCAACAGATTCAGCCATCGGATTGTTTACTTGTAAGTGTTATGCAAAATAAATATTTGAAAACAGAGCAGACAGAACAGAAACATCAGTGAAACTTCATGAGTATAAATGTCAGGATATAATGACCATCTGAAGGAGTGCAGCATGGTGCAGTGCAGTGATATAGTCACATATTCTCACCCTGATGTACTCCAGCCAGTGTGTAGAATCCACAGATGAGAACCAGCGCTGTTGGTCGATGGCAGGATACACCACCTCCTTGAGTTTCCTCAGGGATTCTCTCATCACGTGCATGTTGGGGATCTCCAGAAAGTTCAGCTCCACATTGATATAGAAACTTTCATTCTCATATCCTCCATCTTTGGCCTACAGAAGAGAAGCCACATATCAGCTATTCCAGAAAATCTGGTACAACAGCTAGTTTGTTGCTGGCTCAAGATGTGCTACCAGTGCTGACCAACTAATGACCAGCCAGAAACCAACAGCAACCAGCTTAAAGGCTGGAATGCATGATGTATGATGCCTAGTGTGATGTAAGAGCCGTGTCACATGATGCTAAAGGGAACATGTTTTGGCATGTTAAGCCCACAGCATTACTGGATTATCTATAAGATTGATCATTTCTTTCATGAAAATACTGAACTGAACTTCTAAGAAATGCCTCAAGCCTTGTCTTGTCCTCATCTGGACTAATCCCAATAACAGGTAATATTAATGTAAAATGGATGAGATTCCAACATTAAGGACATGAATCCACATGGAGACCCCATATCTCTGAGATTGAATCATATAGGGCCTTGAAAATGATGATTAGATATTATAGAAATATAACTATATAGATCAGTGGGTATACACTAAAATAAATGTTAATGAAAAAAGTAATATTGTGAAATATTATTGCAGGATTTTCTATCTGAATATATTTAAAAAATGTAATTCATTCCTATGATGCAAAGCTGTATTTTCAGCATCATTACTCCAGTCTTCAGTGTCACATGATCTTTCAGAAATAATTCTAATATGCTGTTTTGCTGCTCAAGAAACATTTCTTATCATTATCAATATTAATAACAGTTGAGCTGCTTAATATTGTTGTGGAAACCATAATAACGTTTTTTTCAGGATTCTTTGATGAATGGAACGTTCAAAAGAACAGCATTTATTTAAAACAGAAAACATTACAAATGTCTTTATTGTCACTCTTTCTCAATTTAATTAATCCAAAAACTCTTACTGACCTCAAACCTTTGAACGGTAGTGCAGTATTCATTTGTTAAAACAGAGTTGCTTACTTTGTTAGTGTCAGCCACAGTGCTTTGGCGAGCATCAAAGATGCAGAGTTTGTGAGACTGTGCGTTGGCGTCGAGAATGGTCTGCAGGTACCGCTCATCCTCCCTGCAGCGGCGGTCTGATGGACCCACCTGCGGCTGACCGCAGCGCACTATAGCGGCCTGACTCTCAGGGTGAATCCAGGACAGCACCTGATGGAAGGGGATAATGTTATTTTCTATTTTCATTTAAATTTTAGTGAAAGTTCTAGTATTTTTTCATGTGTTTTTGTCAGTTTTATTACGGTCTATTAAAAAAAAGTGTTTATACAGTTTTGATAAATATTCATTTCAATTTTAGTTTTAGTTAATTGAGTACATCAAGTTAAATGAAATGAAAATGAAAAATGTTGCCTTGGCAACTATCTGAAATGAAATTTATGTTTTTATATTTTATTTTATTTCAGTTAATGTTTTTTTATTTTAAGTAACAAATATGTTTTTTATGGTTTTAGTTTTTGTTAGGGGTCATCGGATGCCCATTTTCCACAAGTTGATATGATTCTTTAGGGTCTTAATGAAAAGTCTGTAACATAGTTTGGTTAAAATTTCTCAATGGTAGTGTAAAAAACACCTTTTTTACCCTGTCAAAAACAGCTCTTTTCAGATCAAGCCGTTTTGTAGCATTTTCCTTTAAATGCAAATGAGCTCTGCTGACCCCGCCCCTCTCTTCCGAGCCACTCTCTGAGAGACTGTTTACTTTAGACGCATTCATCGTGAAACTTGCTAATTAGCACATTATTAGGAAAGGCGATTTGCAAAGATTCATTAAAAAACCTTATATTCACTTCTTCTGTTGGTGAAGTTGGATCACGAATGATTCGCGTGAACATAGATGCATTTATGTAGATCGGGGGCGCATTCCCTTCAAAAACAAACGTAATTCACTGCGTCTTCAGCGGCTCAGATGTCAGGAGTAAATGACGACTGCTGTGTTCATTATTACATCCAACAACAGAACACCTCAATCGCTTGCTAGGAGTCATTCTTGTCTACATCTGCTCCGGCGGTGAAACAATGGGGGACTGATGACAGCTCACTCAGGGCGGAGCTAAGGTAAGACACCAGTCCAGTCTGTGCTGAAACACTACTGTCAATCAAACTATCGTGGGAGGGGCCTGTTTTTGTGATGTCACACAGACAGGCATCTGAGATCGGCTCGATTTGAGAAAGGGGAAATTATTTAACGAAATTTAAAAAAAAACACACACTGGGTGGATTTTTATCATTATAGGGTGGTTGTGTACACACACTGCCAACACACATTTCAGTTCAAACAACTTGGAAAAGTGCATGTAGCATCCGATGACCCCTTTAACTATAATAACCCTGATGACAATACAGGTGCTGTTAGAAGATATTTCAATTTATCCAAAAAAATTAAACAAAATTCTCCTTTTCAATTTAAAATAATTAGTTATCTTACTGGGAAACGGCGTTTGGCCCTAAAGGCCGCCACTCTCTTCAGTTCGTCCTCTGTGACGTTTGAAGGCAGGACCAGCAGAGTGGGATACGTCTCGCACAGCTCATAACTGCTGTTGACTTTACTGATGATCCAGCTCTCGTTCGGAAGACCCTGTTACCGTCCACAACATTGACACAGGTACATCAGAACATAATACCAAAATAATGACCTGTAATAACACATACTTTACATATGGTGAGTGATGAGGACAGTTCTTACCTGCCTCTTATACTCAGCGACTGGGTCGTAGATCTTCCAGCCATCTTCTGGAAACGTCTCCTGGTACTTAAAGGCAAAGAGAGGCTGAGGGAAGAGAGGGAACTTGTATCATGAAACATACTGAAACACCTTCAGCTAGTTCACACATCTGGGTGTTTTCATAAAGTCATACCAGGTTGTGGGAGAGAGGGAATGCGTACTTTGACAGTGTTTCAAACACCTCCAAATTGCTCTGTCCCTCCTTCTTGTACGCAAACCGGGGGTTTCTCAAGTCCTGTGGAAAAACAAAACAGGAATTAATATTTAAAGGTGTGAGCAAGAGAATAAATAGAAGCAAAGACAGGAAAAGGAAGAGACAGAGCCAGTGAAGAGTGAAAAAAGAAGGATGTGCCCTTTGCCTTGCAAACTATCTCAAGTCCTTGAGTGTTGTCTCCGTGACTCTGAACGGCGATAGACTCCAGTCTGCTAATGGCTCCAAGATTCACATCCAGCACAAACGGAGGATCCTTTGCCAAACACAAAAACAACACTATCAACCAACCAAAACATTTGTGCTTGCTGAGATCTGAGAAGACACTTTGGAATTCATTTAGAGCTTTATATCAATCTACTGAGCCAGGAACTATTTTATAGAGATCATGGTTGTGTCCTAATTTGCATAATTTTAGTGTGTAGTAGATTTATGCACTTTGCAGGTCATAGGAAAGTCTACACTTTTGAGTATGTAGAAAAAGCATATGCCAGTATTAGGGCAAAAGCTAGAGCATACTTTGGTTTTTAATGTTGGGAGTCTTGTGACACACCAAACCAACTAGAACTACTGGCGATGAAAGCTGCCTCGCATTACCTGGGTCTGAACTAAAAAGTTGTGCTTGAACACACTGCAAAAACTACAGCAAACAGCCAACTAGCACAAAATATCTGCCGCTGCCTGAGAGGAAATAACTCTCCATAACAGCAGGTGGCAGTAGTCTGTATTCATTATTAAAAAAAAAAAATGAATAAATAAAAACCGGAACTAGGACTGGATATACAAACTCTAAACAAAGCAGCGCTTGCTTTATAGGGGTGTGCAATATTTATCATCTGCAATAATAGCGTAATTGTTGTTATCATAATTGTTTACTGATATGTGAGCTGACATTATCAAGTATGTCACTCACTTTGCAAAAAACAAATAAAAACACATCTTGAGAGTCCGATCGCATTTGCTGCATGCTGAAGCCTTAATAATGTCCCTATAATTCTAGTTATGAAAGCTAAAAATATCCCTACATAGGCTTTTGTTTTTTTTATAATTTTAAGATATGATATAGTTAAGTAAAGGGGTCATATGATGCGATTTCAATTTTTCCTTTCTCTTGGGAGTATTACAAGCTCTTGGTGCATAAAGAAGATCTGTAAAGTTGCAAAGACTAAAGTCTCAAATCCAAAGAGAGATTCTTTATAAAAATTAAGAGTCAGCCACACCTACCTAAAACATATCTACATCACTATGTGGGAAGATTTGCATAACGCCGCCCAAATGTTCACACAAAGAAAGAAGGCATAACTTTTAGTCTCGCTGTAGTATTGTTGTTGCCGCCGCCGCCATGTCGTGAAGGCGCTGTGTGTTTCGTAGTGAAAGCGAAACTACTTTGTTTGGTCTTCCAAAAGAGGACGATATCTGCTTCGTCATGCCTGGAGCTGATCTGTGCTGGTCGCTGAGGGAATACATCAACTTTGCGCTGTGGATCGCCGGATCGGCTTTCACCGTGGACGAAGCGGAGTCCAGCCCGGAGTCGTCACATGTCCTTCCGGACGCTCCTTCGTCGAAATCGCCGGCCGCGCCGTTCTCAAGCCCACCCGCCTCTGCTCACTCTAGGCCGCCGCTGCTCACTCAAGCCCGCCGTGTGTGGTTGTGAAAGTGAAACTACTTTGTTTGGTCTTCCAAAAATGGACACGACTAGAAATCAGTGGTTAAGTTGTATTTACAACACTGTTCCAGAACACTTCCACATGTTCACAGACTGTAAGTAAGTTTTTTATATTTAAAGAGTTTCTATATTTTATATATTTAAAGCGAGTTTTTTGGGCAGTGTAGAGTAGGGCTTGTTGTTTGTCATTTCTCTGATCACAAATGCAGACATGGTTTTATGTTTACGCGGCGCGATGCAACGCAACACATAAAAAGACAGTATAAGTCATTATAATTCATAATTATGTCCCCACTGGATGCAACGAATGCCTCGTTTATAATGGGTTTTCATCTTTTTGAATCATCGCTCCAGCCGGACAGGGCATCATCACAGTATGGTAAGGGGCATAACATTTCCGTTACACGCTTAAGGTATTTGGCCAATCACAACGCACTGGATAGCTGGCCAATCACAGCACACCTCGCTTTTTTAGAACGATGATCTTTGTAAAAATCTACACGTTTCAGAAAGGCGGGGCATAGAGGAGTAACAATAATGTACAGTATGTGGAAAATAATGTGTTTTTTGAACTTTAAACTGCATAAACATTTCATTACACCAAATAATGTTCTTTTTAGCAACATCATTTGACCCCTTTAAGTAATATCATAAAAGCAAAACTGCCTTTTTCCTGAATATTAGTGTTTGAGCGTAATTGCAAATGTGATGTTCATTTTATACAAGTTAAAAAAACAGCTAATATTAAACGAGTTGTCTGCTTTTTCTGTTTCGCCAATGAAAATAGTTCAGAATAAAATTGGAAGCGGTGTTTCGTTCCTAAGTGAATGTGTTTTTGAACAAATAATTTGAGTCAATGATTCAAAGATCCTTTCATAAAGACAGTCACTTGCTTCATTTTTAAATGAATTAGCCGTGTTTTTCATTCAAATGAATCACTCATTAACACAGGGACTTGCTGCCACCTACTGGTGGTTTTAGTGTCATATTTATTTTTCCATGGCAAGCCTAAACCAGCCAAGGTATCAGCACAAAAACATACTCAAAATGCGCAAAATTATCATTATCGAAGAAATCCCCCAAAATATTAAGATATAATTTTTTGTCAATACTGCACACCCCTATTTGCTTACCATGTTGATCAGCTGGTCTTTATTCTGTCAAGACAACCATGTCGTTATGAAAATATTTGCACAGCAAAAACTGAGCTGACAAGACACTGAATGACGGCAAGAAAGCGCAGCTAGTATCTGTGTATTGATACTGAGAAAAATGAGTATTAAAACGGTTTCAAATATTTCAGCACTGATAAGTACAGAAAAAGAAATATCTATAGTACAGAAAAATCTCTATATATTTTTGATGTACATTGCTCAGAACTTTAACATGAAGTGACACCACAGTCAGCTTTCAATACAGCTAGTTCAATGATGTCAGTTTGATGTTTCATTGCCTTTAGATGCTGTAAAAAGAAATGGAAAAGTGCGTTTACCCGTGTCAGGCTTTTAAAGAAGAGCTTGTAGTCAGTGATGGTTAGAGTCCCCCTCAAGACCCCAGAGAACGGACAAATATACATGACATCTTTGACTGTAAAAAACATCACAGCATATGATGGTTATCTACCACTGACATGAACAACATGTGTGGAAGACCTGTAAACTATACAGTCTAAAAAGGATGATTTTTTTAGCCTTGTCCACCACATATTAACTTATTTCTTATTATGGTTGGCTTGCAATGCTTCATGATGGTTCTATATTAATACATTACATAAAAACACGCTCAATTATGAAGTTCCTTACCAATAGCTTTAATGGTTTCTCCAGGAACACGTGGAGCCTCTTCCATCTGAGCGTGCTTATTTCCTTCTCTGAGTGCCTGTCACACAGTGAAATAAACACATTTTTATATGATTTTCTTATTAAGGTCTATATTCTAGATACACATTTACATGTTCCTATTGGAATATTCCCGTATCAGCATAATTTAAGCATGGAGTTTTAGATATTCTGCACGGATATTCTGAATAAGGCATTTAAATGATACATAATTCTGATTAATACAGGCATATGCCAGTTGTCTAATTAGGACTTAAAGATCCCAGAATGTTGGCTTTGTTTTTTTTGCAGCTTATCTTCACAAGTGCCACTGACAGTAAATTATTTGAAAACCTCTAACAAAATACACATACCAAAAAAAAAAAAAAAAGCATAAAAATACAACTCAGTGTCAGAGAGATACTCTGTATGTGGTTTCCTTTGCTACCACTCCCAAACTTTAAGTTCTCTCTCCGCCTAAAGCAAACAGTCAGTCCAACGTTTGAGGTTGTAAACACGGAAGGCAGGGCTGTAATTGAGGACACAGAGGGGAAAAAAATCTGACGGTATAATAAGCAAGCTGCTGATGATGCAAATTCAGCAAGAGCGAAATATTTGATATTCATATTTTTGGATTGGCTAGAATATACAGTGAACACCTCAACAACCACAAAGCAACAGTAGCTGCTGTACACCACTCCAGCATCTTGACAATAAATTTAGCACAAGTAACTAGTAAAAATCTCATCTATATGCAGTATGAAAGCAGTATGATTACTCTTTTCAGATCCCATGAGCCACTAGTCAATGTTTGGCCCCAAAAGTTCATTTTCTGTCAGCACACTGTTGACAACGAGTAGGGAGCTCAGCAGGATGAGAAGGGGCTCATGGGTCTGCTCCACCCACAGTGACACAACTGTTTGGCAGCTTCATGGACACAGAGGAATCAGAGAATTCAGTCTTTCTCTTACGGTCCAGCTGCAGGACAACGACGGCACTGTGGAGTTCAACAGGCTTGACCTTCACCAACACAAAAGATCTATGGAGATCTATTCAGCATTATGCTGATAAAGCCCTGAAAAGATGGCACGGGGTGGTGATATTTCATAATGGCTCATGTGAGTCAAAACATCTGTATTTCCTCCCTCACACATTCAGTGATCCACTGCATCAATACTGTAGAACACAATAAGCCTTACTGGAGATTCAAATACAAATCATGCTCTTTCCACAGCATTTGTGGCACAGGAAAAAACTGTGTACAAACATACAAATATATGTCCAAATATTACAATTAGTGCATTTACATGGACATGCTGGTAATTTTCAAAAACAGTTCATTATAATGACCAGACAATACAAGAAATCCACATTTATAGTTTTTCAAATGTTTTTGATACAAAGTTTTGATACAAAACAGACAGACAGACTGGTGTTTTGATAGATAAACAGACAGAAAGATAGACAGATGTTAGTAAGTTAATTATCACGTCAAATAGTTAACAGAGTCAAACACGTCTGGTCAGCTATCCTTGTGGGGACTCTCCATAGGCGTAATGGTTTTTATACTGTACAGACTGCATATTCTATTGCCCTACACCAACCCTACCCCTAAACCTACCCCTCACAGGAGACTTTCTGCATTTTTAGATTTTCAAAAAAATTCATTCTGTATGATTTATGAGCTTTTGTACCCGTGGGGACCACAATTTAGGTCCCCACCGTGACACGAGTCCCCATGAGTCTGTGTGTAGTCAGGTTTAAGTCCCCACCAGGATATATAAACTAGTACACACACACACACACACACACACACACACAGAAAGAGACTTGCCGAAGAGGGGGCAGTCTGCTGAGGGTCACTGTCCAAGAGAAATCCTTTAACCTCCACATCACAGTCCTGCACCAAAAAAACACCACAACACCACAGAAAAACAAAGAGTGGTGAGGGAAGAGAGAGAAGAAAAAGTAGAACATTACAGTGTATGTAATCCCACCAGAAAGATTGTGCAAGTGCAATCATTTCAAGAAACTATAAGAACATCCATGCAGATGTAAAAAGGGTCAAAAGGGGTCATATACATTTGATCACTTTCCCACTTTACCCACTTTCCCAGATCTTAGATGTTAGTCAAGGTTTCTGCATCGAAAACTCTGAACACGACACTGACTCTGTTTTCGAGGAAATCAACATATGCCTGACTATTAACCTGGCAAATAAAATATATTCCAAAAAAAAAAAGGAACTGTTTATTGAAACTTTAGATAAAAAAAAAAAGATAATTTTTTTTAGATCGTATATACACACCAGTACATGCTCATACCTTGTACTCTCTGGAAATCATCTCTGAGCTGATTGGTCCAGAGATCTGACTTGACATTGTGGCTGCAATCAGTTGTTTGCACCATTCAACATGAGCCCCTGTGGGACTGTAATGTAAAAGTGTTAGTGTGTGTAGCCTAGTGAACCAAACTGAGAGGCCATTTTGAAGGCTCAGGAAACCTTTGCAGGTGTTTTGAGTTGATTAGCTGATTGGCATGTCACCATATTCTAATTTGTTGAGATAGTGAATTGGTGGGTTTTTGTTAAATGTGAGCCAAAATCATCACAATTAAAAGAACCAAAGACTTAAACTACTTCAGTCTGTGTGCATTGAATTTATTTAATACACGAGTTTCACAATTTGAGTTGAATTACTGAAATAAATGAACTTTTCCACAACGTTCTAATTTATTGAGATGCACCTGTATATGTCTGAGAGTAAGATATTTAGAAGAGCACGGTTTCTGTTTATGTTCAGCTGGCTCTTATTTATCCCAATAGGACCAGTGCATCAACAACATTCATCATTCTGAACTATGCTGTCAGACAGTTATGTTGCATCTGTAGTTTAGATGGACTATATTTTTATTCTTTATAAAACATCTTGAGCACTGGTTGAAAGTTATCGTAGCCTGTTTCCGTCATTAATCAAAAATTTAAAAACTTTTTTTTGCAGAATTACAAGATAAAAATTGGGAGTTACAAAGTCCTGACTTCTTTTCTCTGAATTTTTTTCGAAATTCTGATTTTTTTTCTTCATACAATTCTGATGTTTATATCTCGCAATTCTGACTTATTTTCTTCTTTTCACAATTGTGAGTTATAAAGTCTAATTTTGAGGGAAAAGACTGACTTTTTTTTAATCTCAGAATTGTGAGTTTATACCTTGCAATTCTGACTTTATAACACTCAACTGCGACTTTGTCCTGCAATTCTGACTTTATAACACTCAACTGCGACTTTGTCCTGCAATTCTGACTTTATAACTCGCAATTGCGAGTTTATATCTTTCAAGTCTGAGAAAAAAATTCAGAATTGTGAATTTATATCATGCAGTTCTGAGAAAAAAAGGTTGAATTCTGATATGTTAACTTGCAATTGCAAGAAGAAAAAACCCCCTCAGAATTACGAAAAAATAAATCGCAATGACCTTTTTTAAAATTTCTTTTTTATTCAGTGGAGGAAACAGCCTTCCATTGCAAGCAGACTTATTTGCAAGATATATATATATATATATATATATATATATATATATATATATACATACACACACACACTTTTTTTATTCGGCCAATTACATGACACGGCTTGGTCATGTGATATCAACAAAGCGGCGCCCATGAGGGGTCGACCCGCTCCACGTATAACAAAATAGACGAATATGTCCGCAGTATACATATCTCTCGTGAGCGTTCATGATTTGTAGTGTTTTCAAAACCGCTGTTTATGTGAGTGCACCCTTAATAAAGAATACTATCCAATAATTTATTATGAAGGTTATAGTCATCAGTAAAGCTCAGGTTGATAAAATGCTTTCTTATCTGCATGTCTGGTTTAATATGACATCAAACAAAGTCAGCCCAAGTGTTTTGTTGGTATCAAGTCACTCAGTAACTAGAAGGCAGTAAAACACACCTTTATGACACTCTAGCTCTACAACGCGACGCGATAAGAACGCGCTCATTATAATCCACTAGCGTCGCGCCACTAGCAGGGGTGTCATAAAGTATCAAATGGGTGTTATTGGCACTGACCTGTCTGGAGTTTCAGCGTTTGACTGTGCTGAGGTCGGTCGCTTATCCATTCTCTACCGTAGGCTTACAGAAGCGCAAAATAACGCTATGTTTCATATCCAACGCTCATCGTGTCTGGGTCTGCAAACGCTTGCCTCTGAAACTTTGACTCGCCGACGCTCGAAATCAGGAATCCTTCTACGTCGAAGGGAATCGCTCATGAATACTAAATAGGTCTGTGCTGCATAACCTACCAATGGTGATGGTTTGCTCCTGAATAATAATTACGCGGCGTCAATAGTTTCCAGTGGCAAAGACTCCGCTCATGAATATTAAAACTGCAGTCTTCAACGCAGTAGGATTCGTAATCTCGCCTCCCGCACCGCCACGCCAGCGCTAATAAATATCTACAAACTACGTTTCCCAAAATGCAACAGCGTGACAATACGAATTAAAATAATATAATAATGATATATATATATATATATATAGATAGAGGAAAAAAGAGAACATGTCTTGTGTGGGGTTTAACGCCCATCTGGCTCTGAACAAATCATTCTTCCTCCAAATCCTGCCTTCTTAGCCATGCCCAGGTAATGAGGAAAACAGAAATAAGATGTCCTTACAACTATGCTTTCTTAATGTTGAATTTATTGTGTTTAAGTGTTGAATCCTCACTTTCCCTGAAATAACTTAGCTACATGTTACAAAAGCCCTGTTACCCCATTATAAATAAACACTATGTATGTGACGGTATCACATTTTCATGCTGCGATCATTGCTGAAGCTTTTATCGCGGTATACGTTATTATCACGATATTGAAATAAGTTGCAAAAAGTGTTGTCATAATACAGTATAACAGGTTTAATAACGTTTTTCTTATAACGAAAAAACTGAGCATTTAAATACAATAAATACACAAAATATATATATAAAGTAAACAAATGCTTCAAACAGATTACAGAAGAAAAGAATTATAAGAAACAATAAGATCTCATTAGTTAACCTTAGTTATTGCACTGACATTAATAATGAGCAATAGCTGCATTTGTTACAGAAGTTATAATTCTTTGTTCAAAAAATGTTCTTTGTTTTTTTTGGTTCACATTAGCGCATGTCCATTAAATAATACTTTGATGCAGCTTACAGCAGCGTTGTGCATTTTAACCAGCTGATGGTAAAAGTTTTCTTAAAATGCATTATTGCAATTTGTAATAAATAATTATTCACAGTATTTTGAAGTGCCCACAATAATATCGTGCATGTTCATTATCATGATATTTTGTATTACCGAATACCGGCACATGTCTAATATATATATATAAAGGTATGTAACAAATGCATTTTTTATATATTTAAAGGTGACAGATCATGAAAATCTGACTTTTCCAGGTTTTAAGTGCTATAATCAGGTCCCCGGTGCATCTACCAACCAAGGAAACGTGAAAAAGATTAACCCAGTAACTTTGCTTTGCTAAGCCTTTTTCTGCAAGCGTCTGAGAAAACCAGCGCGTCTGATTTCGCTCCCTTAGTGACGTGGCAAAGGGATCTCATTATAATATTACCGCCCCTTAATCTGTAAGTTTCCACCCACGGCGCCGTCATTGTGTTTTTTCGCAAGCGACAATAGTGTACTAGTTCTAATGCTAAATTCTAAGTTTGAGCAAAACATGGTAACTGTTCTGTCTTTGGCTGCACAGACGAGCACAGAACACTGTTTAGAGTCCCAGCCTCAGAGGAGACAAGAGAGCAGTGCATTTATTGATTTATCTACTGCCACACAGATCTAAAATAAACATGTGACTTATTTCCCAGCTGTTTACCTTCACAGACATAACCCACTGTTTTTGTAACTTGTGTGTTTTTAATGTAAACTTGTGTGTGAATGAGAACTTAGTTTAGTACTCACATGCTGTGACAGCCGCTTTCTGTCCGTGTGCTTCAGATGTGTGCTCTCAGAAAACTGTATATCAGAAGTTTAAATTCATATGGTTTAAAACACATGATTTCAGCGTGATAAACATGATAATCAGAAGCAAAGCAGATGTTTTTAGCAGGTCAGAGCTGTAATGGCACAGCTCTAGTCTGGAAAAGGGGGCGGGGAGCAGCAGCTCATTTGCATTTAAAGAGACAGGCCAGAAAAACAGCGTGTTTCTGCTTCCACTCAAAATAGGCATTTTCAAAATGATATAATAAATGATCTGTGGAGTATTTTGAGCTGAAACTTCACAGACACATTCTGGGGACCCCAGAGACTTAGATTACATATTGTAAATAGGGGCATAATATGTCTCCTTTAATGTTGAAAAAAACAACCTGCACACATTAGATACATTGCAAATCTCCAGCAAGGCACATCTCAGTGTCTCAGACACAAATACACTACTGAATACTTTGTTTCACGGTTACGGATGAGAAGGAGCAGAGGGCAAAAGATGAACTGGGATGTGTACCATCCACACATCTTTATGGCCCCTGGAATATATTGGTTCATTGAACCAGCGGGGGTTTGAGAGTCTTGTAAGGTATTTCATTTTGAGCGCCGTCAAGCAAGCTGCTTTTTCCAGCTCTCTCATCTCTTCACAGGGAATATCCTCAGGACAACACCACGTCTCCCCAACATCCACAAGACCTGCACGTATACAGTGGAACATAAACAAACACATAAAAACATACACAAATAATAACATCAGAAAACGGAGGATAAGCTTGATGAGGAACTAAACAGAGCCATAAATTGATTATGCTTTTTTTGATAACATAATTTCAATACCTGAACATAATGTTGCAGAATCTATCTATCTATCATTTGCAATTTATTGATATTTATAAGTATAAAAAAATCTAACTTTGATGTTGGCTTGAGAAAGTACATACGTACTTGATGTTTCAGCGCTACCTTTAATAATGATGAACTTATATTAAGTTTACTATTTATTTATGTCTGTCTACCTATGTGTGTGTGTGTATATATATATATATATATATACGACCTGAATATATCTGAATAATATCTTCACCTTAGTTGAATTTATTTATTAATTTACATAAATTGATTATGCACATAATACATCCTTATATTATACAAACATTACAATTATTAACAAACCAGTGTATATTTCACCTGCTATAACACCACGCCTGAACCTTTCTCCAGACTCCAGCAGTTCCTCGGTTTGCACGGCAGTCATTCCCAGTCGTTCTGTGAGGATGAGTCTCCAGTCCTCTCCTTCCCAGCTCTTCTGAGCGATGTGAACTGGTAGCGTGCAGTTCCGCATCTCTGGCAGCAGGGGCCGCCAGCGGCTCTCTAGCGCTTTCACACCATTCAACACAAGAGTAGTGTACGGCTGGCGAAATGACAAGCAAGTAGGGATGGGCGATACCACTTATTTTGTTTTCGATACGATACCGATATTTTTCAAGGCAGTATCGTCGATATCGATACCGATTTGATACTTCTGAACTAAACTTTTATATTATGAAATGTATTAAATTACTAAGAGTAAAATGGGTAATGATAAGCACTTAACTTTGTTTAAAATGCATTTTAACATTCAATACGCCTTAATTGTAACTTATTAGGTTATATTTTTGTTGTTCAAATATGTTTTTTGTTTACACATGATTCAAATCTATAAATACTACAGTTGAACTATGGTCACTTTAGTAAAACCATGGTTCATTTTCATAAGAGACTGCCAGTGACCAGCTGTTGCATGCTTAAAATGCAACCTTTTTATTCTGACAGTGTATGATTTCTATTAACATTACAGAATAGAACATAATCAATATTATCTTTCAACATTCAATTTTAATAACTGTAATTGCACAAACTATGCAGGCTACAATTTCAGTTTGTTTATTGTGAAATAACTGTTCTTCTGTCCTCTGATAAGCATTGTTCAGGGCTGCCGTTCCCAAAAGCTTTAATGCTTTCTTATGATACTTTTGGGAAACGCAGCCCTGTTTGAATGCGCTGTCAGAAGTGAGTGAACGCTCTCTGTGATTGATTAGTTCTGTCTTGGAACATTTGCGTGTCCAGATGAGCAGGAAAATAGTTCTATC